AGTTAAAAAGGTTACCCTTCTAATGAAATGCACTTGTGATTAGATGATGTGATAACATCTGCGTTTCAATTTTGCAGACGGGTGGTTCAAGCAATCAGCAGAAAGAACACCAAAAACATATGCCATTAGCAGCAAAGAGATCCAAGGTTGCAAAATCTAAGATTGAGAAAAAGAGAAAGCAGGCGCGTGCTGGCAAACAATTTCGAGGGAGAAAAGCTTGGAAGTAGAGTGAAGACTAGCTTTCATCTTCCCAATTTTGCCAAAAGTAAAAATCAGAGAAATAGAAAATGTGTATTTTTTCCCTTCATATTGGAACATGCAATTTTGATTATGTTTTTTTGTCCTAATTTATTGTAGAACAATAATGTCAAGAGAGTAAATTTTAATTCGAAAAAGCAGAGCGATTCTTTCTCTTCATATGCATTTTCGTTCTTAAATTTGCTCTTAACCTGCCCGCAGAGTGCACTAGAGAGTTCAATTTACGATATGAAAACACATACCCAGGTGAAAAGAGACAGGTTAACTTGTATATTTGAGATGAATGAAGAATTGACGAACCAAACACCGGAGATGGATAGATGATTTGGACAATTCTCTGCTCTTGAGCTATTTTAAAGTCGAGTTAGACTCAACATCCATTTAATCGTGTTATCACAATCAAGCCCTTAATGTTGAGCTCCCCAGTAGACTATTCACTCATCCAAAACTTAATAACATCTCCACATGTAAATGGTGAAGAACATTAAGCTCTGAATAGATTAATTTTCACACACATTATTTGAGCATACAAATTAAATTTATTGAAATTTAAATATATAATAAATGAGCTATTGCAAGGTGTGTCACTTGAGTTGCATAAGTAATCCCTCAACAAGATTGTCTTCCAGAGCCAAACGGAATGAACTCACATTGTCAATCTTAGCACGAACAATTCATTCAGCAATGTCTATTTGCACCTCGACTATTCATGAATATCTACTATCTATGCACCTCGACTATTCCGTTGAATATCTAATATCACCTAGCTTAAAACTTTCTCTAAAACTGTTTGATGCTACACATGGGGTCTGGCCAATTCTCATTTCTGCTCTTTCCTTGTTTCTGTCTACTTTCTTTTTCATCATCTATACCTCATCCTTGCCGCAAAGATCAATGCTCCGCTCTTCTAAAATTCAAGAAAATGCTTACTGTAGATACCTCATTAGTTTGCTGTAGTTACACGAGTACATGGAACATGAGCAGATACTGCTGCTCATGGGATGGAGTCGTATGCAATGACATGACTGGCTTTGTCACTGAACTTGACCTCAGTCTATTCCGGGACGAGAGCTTGAACTTGTCAAATTCATCATTGCATATGTTGGAGGAATATCAGGGGCCATAAAATTTTATGAGCTTAAGTTGGCCCGAACATCATGATTATCAAAAAAAATGTCTTAACCCCCTGGACATACTAATGACAAGGTGATATATATAGAGTTGAAACGAGTTAGATATCTTTTTCTTTTTGTTTTCCAGTAATCACCTCTTATTTGTTTTACTGTCATAAATCAACTTTCTGATGTAATATAGTTGAAAGTAGTACCTATTATTTTGAAAGTTCACAATAATTCAACTTACATGGGTGCAGCTAAAGTATTGGTTTATGTGTTCAGAACCAGTAACTCAAAAATGATATGAGATGGATTTATGTACAACTATACTTCCTTTCATGATTCATAAATGTATACAACAACCTCATGACCTACTGCAATAGATTACAAAGTACCTTCACTTCAAATTGAATGAGTTGTAGCTTTCATTTGCAAGACGCGTGACTTTTCTGTTACATAACAAATAAGGTGACTTTCTAAGATAATTATCAATAATTGAGTGACAATATGAGAAATCAACTGTTGATGTCAGCTATATAAAATCTCAGTAGTCATATAGCTTTACCTAAACTCATCTCGATCTAGTACAAAGTATATTAGAGATAATAATGTAGTCTAGAATTATTGTTCTGTTATATAATTGTTGGATTGGTCCACTAATTTAGATATGAGATTCAGAACCAAACATGTCTGCATCATGGCTGATAACACAACAAAACTATTTGGCCACTTCGTTAAGTCCTTGGCTAAATTACATATGTAACGCGTGCATAAAAATAAAAAGCAAAAAGACAAGAACAGAACAACCAAAATTTGCAATGAGAATGAGAACACTTCCTCTGATAAATATGGACAGACAAATAAGTGTGAATAAGAGAGACAGAAGCCGAATTGGCAACATTTGGTGGCAGTCAAACATGTTTCGCTTTGATCTTTGATATTATGCACTATATAAAATCCTACGAATTCTCTACAATTAGTTCATTGAAACGCAAAATATGATGATGATGGTTCCCAGCAAAATATCCTCTCTACTTCAGTTTTTCACTCTTTTATATCTCTTTACAGTTACTTTTGCTTCCACTGAGGAAACAACTGCCCTCTTTAAATGGAAAGCGACTTTCAAGAACCAAAATAATTCCTCATTGGCATCATGGACACCGAGTTCTGATGCATGCAGTGACTGGTATGGAGTTATATGCATTAATGGTAGGGTAAACACGTTGAATATTACAAATGCTAGAATCATTGGTACACTCAGTGCTTTTCCGTTTTCATCCCTCCCTTTTCTTGAGTATCTTAATATTAGCAGGAACAGTTTATTTGGAACCATCCCACCTGAGATTGGTTATCTAACTAATCTTGTCTATCTTGACTTGCATATGAATCACATTTCAGGCTCAATCCCACCACAAATCGGCTCACTAGCCAAACTTCAGATCATCCGCTTATTTGACAATCATTTAACTGGTTCTATTCCAGAAACAATAGGGTACCTAAGGTCTCTTACTAAGCTATCTTTGAGTATTAACTCTCTTACTGGTTCTATACCTTCTTCCTTGGGAAACTTGACAGACTTGTCTTTTTTGTTTCTTCATGTTAATCATCTTTCTGGATCCATTCCTGAAGAAATAGGCTACCTAAGGTCTCTTACTCGTCTAGATTTGAGGAATAACTTTCTTATTGGTTCTATTCCTACTTCCCTAGGCAACTTGAAAAATTTGCAAGTTCTGCTTCTCAATGACAACAATCTGATTGAGGAAATTCCTCCATCTATTTGCAATTTAACATCACTGACAATCCTGTATTTGTCGAGAAACAACTTGAAAGGAAAAATTCTGCAATGCTTAGGTAATATCACTACTCTCCAGCTTGTAATGATGTCACAAAATAATCTCAGTGGAGAACTCCCTTTGTCTATTTGCAATCTAAAATCACTACAAGTTCTAAATTTGGGTAGAAACAATCTGAAGGGAGCAATTCCGCAATGTTTTGGCAACATGAGTGATCATCTTGAGATTCTTGATATGCAGCACAACAATCTTTCTGGTACTTTTCAAAGCAATTTTAGCATTGGAAGAGCACTTAAAAGCTTCAATTTGCATGGCAATAAGCTAGAGGGGAAAATTCCACGATCCTTGGTAAATTGCCAACGATTGGAAGTTCTTGATTTAGGAGCTAATCTCCTCAATGACACATTCCCGATGTGGTTGGGGACTCTGCCGGAGCTACAAGTGTTAAGTTTGAGATCCAATAAATTGCATGGACCCATCAGAACTTCAAGGTTCATGAAGAACTTGTTTCCTAAGCTTCGAATCATAGACCTCGCTAGCAATGCATTTACTGCAGAGTTACCTGCAAATCTTTTTCAAAATTTCGAAGCCATGAAGAGAGTTGATCAAACTGTGGAGGATCCAAATAATAAAGAAGGCGGTTATTACCAAGACTCAGTAGCTGTCGTAACAAAGGGACTGGAGCTTGAAGTTGATTCAATCTTGTCTTTGTACGTCACTATTGACTTTTCAAATAACAGATTTGAAGGACGCATTCCAAGTATTATGGGAGATCTCATTGCACTTCGCGTGTTGAATTTATCTCATAATGGATTGCAAGGTTATATACCGCCATCACTTGGAAATTTATCTTCAGTTGAATCATTAGACCTATCAGCTAATCATCTCGAAGGAGAGATACCTAATCAACTTACATCACTTACATTTCTTGAATTCTTGAATCTCTCTCACAATCACCTCCAAGGATGTATCCCAACAGGACGTCAATTTGCTACATTCGAGAATAACTCCTATGAAGGTAATGATGGGTTACATGGAGTTCCTGTTTCGGGTGGTTGCAGCAGGTTGCCCAAAACAAACAACATGACAGAGTTGGAACAAGAAAGCGATTCTACATTTCTGAGTGAACTCAACTGGAGAGTAGTTCTTATGGGATATGTGTGTGGACTTATTATTGGATTCTCTATAGCATATTTAATGGTTTCAGCTCGAAATCCCGATTGGCTTTGTAGGATTGCTGAAGAACTAGAATACAAAATCCTTATGAGAAGGCAAAAGAATCAGCAAGGTTGTCAAAAGCACTACATAAGATGAAATTGTTGAGTGTAGCTATAAGAGTTATATTAGATTCAAAATTATAGTATTTACTCAATTTTATTGTAATAATCATTATACAAGATTACATAGTACATGACTCGGAATACACATGCAACACACGTGTATAGTACATGACTCGGATTACACGTGCTACACACACGTGTTGAGGAGCTAGCTCGAACATCATGGTTATTAAAAAAAAAGGCTAAGACCTGTTGAATCTCTGCGTATTTTCTGCTTGTTTGTGTACTTTTTTCCATGTACCGCGGTATTTGAGTTAGCTTTGACTACCTTGACTATTCCGCTCAATGTTGGGAGGAATGCTTTGTGCTTGTTCTCATCACAGTCTTATACAGAGGACATTTGTTAAGTTTTGGGTGATGAAAGAGTTTGGTATCAAAGACTGCTATAACTGCCCCTTCTCTCTCTTGTATATTTAACACAAGACTTGCAACAATACCAGTTAAAAATTAGTGCCATTTTTCATATAAGTCACATTACCTATAATAACAACAACTAATTTAAAACTTGATCATAACAATCCTTGTATTCCACCAAGATAAAATGGTTCAAGATAAAGCACAATGGTTAACACCAAAACCAAAAGAGGTACAAAGTGAATACTGCATTCTTCACCATGTAAATGGAGGGAGTACATATGTAGGATATGCATTGTTTTTCAAGGCAAGAGTATGTACAACAGTACCATCATCCCTGACTTACCCAAAATTGCCAAGTCCAAGTTCAGCAGCATGTATTCAGCCTGTGATAAACGCTGATGCAATTCCAGCTGCATTTGCGCCTTTGATATCACAGTGAAGGGAGTCCCCTATAGCAACACAATCGGAGCATCCACAACAGAAGCCATTTCCATAGCTGACTTGTATATTATCTTATCAGGTTACCCATCCATTACAATTCTCAAACCAAAGTAGTCGAATACATAGACAGTCCCCTCAAGTTGTCACGTCTTTCATTTAGACACCTCAACCAAGACTGTCATGACTCGCGTATAAGACTTCTCCTTAGTTATTATTTGGAGCAAGGTCTAGAGTATAATGACCAAGCCTTCCAGTACGATACAGATTAAGTAACTTAGCAGCCACTTTATGAACATAATCATCCGAATCAGGAGGTAAATTAAAAGCATCGCGAAGAACAGCAAACTCTGTTTTGATGAGCCGTGACATAATTTCCTCATCGTGTAGATTGCCATTGAAAGACGAAACTGCTTCAAAAAGCGTTCTTCGAACTTTGTTCACAATGAAGTCCTGTATGAGTAATCAGAGATGTCATATCTAACAAGGAGTTGATAAAAGTCGAAGCTAAAACTTGACAATTTCATGTTCCATTGCTTAATAGTTGTTGATTGACATGAATTTGACGATTACGGATCTACTGAGGTCCCACTTATTCAACATTCAAATTATCAAATTTTGTAACCATATGTTGCTATGTACATAGGCACATTGTTAAAAACTAGATCATTCCTGAAGATATGTTGCTCGGACCCTCAAAAGATGTTGTCGGATCCTCCAAAATATCATAGCTTTTGGAGGATCAGATACGTAGATATTTTTGAAGAGTCTGAGAAACATAGCCCTGAAGTATTCTCATTTGTCAAAGGACTATTGTCTTTCTTTCTGCTAGATCTGCTAGAGATTGTAAACATAAAATTGAAGGCTATTGACAAAACATAAAATGCATACCCACTCCGAACATTATTGTTAACGTGGGGATTTCGGAAATCATACCTTTTTCCGGATATATATAAGGCAGGGAACCACAATGAACATGTTATTTTAAACTGACTGGTTTTGCCTGACAAATAATTCAACTGGTTTCGGGGAAACAAAAGTCTATTGTAAAGGCGTAATAACAATGATTGTTGAGCTTATCATTCGAAATGCAGGACATGAGCAAATTCAACTCGAACTTGACATACAGTTGGTACTTAGTACGCAATGGAGCTTATGATTTGCATATAGCGAAGAGGAAAGAAAGACGTTATAATACATTTCCTTTTAAACTGCTTACCTGTGTGTGATCTGTTAAATATTGTCTCTTCTGTTTTCTCTCTAACTCGGAACAATCATCAGCGCCTGATAATGACAAGTTGGCCCATTTCTTATATTCATTACTCACGTTAAAGATGGATAGAAAATATTCCGCAAGATCCACTTCCCCGACCAAGCAATCTCTGATAGCACCTGCATTAAGAATAAAGGAACATAGAATATCTATCAGTTGGTAGCTCACTTCCGCATTTTCCACTTCCTCACTTGTCATGGTACTTTCTCTTTGTGTACAGTGTTTTGTCTATCATTCCTTCTTTTTTTCCATCAGTTAACAAGAGGAGCAGGAGCTGTGAGAGAATTGCAATTTGTGACTATGTTCTGATGAAAATCCAAAATGTTGGCGGCAGATAATGTTTTGGAAATTGTACCTGTTAAAGCTAGATTGGAGCACACCTCTGCATCGAGAATCTCAGCCGGGAAAACACCAGGGGTGTCTAACACATAAATACTAGGATGGCTAGCGATCTGATTTTGTAAAAGTAGTTTCATCAAGATATGACTATGCAAAAACAAAAATCAAATAGAAAACAGGAAAGCTATAACCCTGTAAGCTGAAAAACAAGCCCAGCTACTACGCGTAAAATCCAAACCTCTAGTTCAGAACTTGCCTGGTTAAAAGAAAAAAAAACTGTGTTTCTACATATAAGAAAGAAATACCTTCAATCCGCTAATATTTTTTGTCTCTCCTGGATGAGGACTCACTATGGCATGCTTTAGTCTTCCTTTCTCTATAAAACAAAGAATGTTTCAGGATATTTGAGTTAGATAAGTTCTATACTATAGAGAGAGTCTTTTTAAAACATGAGAAAACAGCTTCAAGAACTTAACAACTAATAATTTGTACTAAAAGTTGATGTACCTGCTGCACTGATCCTTCCAATTTGATGCAATGAGTTGGCAAGGGCAGACTTCCCAACATTAGGAATGCCAACAAGCATTAATGTGATTGTCTGATCCCCATGACCAATCTTTGATAATTCTCGAACTCTGGCTCGCAGAAAGTTCAGTAACTGCAAGTCTGCAACATGTCAAGATTTATATCTGATGCAAATGAGCACCACATGTGAAATAAAAGGTCTTCGGATTAACTAGTGATGAACATCAAGGCCTACACCTTTTTCATAGTACTTCCTTATACTGAAACTTTGCATACTGTTAGAGCATTGACCTCATATGTTCAACATTTAAGTTCAACTCTATGCAGGCTTAAGTCACCCTGTATGTACCTTTTGATCTATGTGTTGTATATGTTGAGAACAACAATTTACCAACATGACATTAAACCAACAAGTGTTGCTACATTAGAACAATTTGCAAATTAGAACACGATCTACTGCAGAAAACTTTCAGATGATTACCTCTTTGATGTTATCCTTATTATGGGAATTGACTCCAAAAACAAGAGACTTTTGTTCCTCAAAGTATTTCAGCCATTCCTGCAGGAAACAAATTTAAATATCTGTACATGTAAACAGATGCAAGCAAAAAGGATATATGACAAAATCTGCAATAATTTGGGACTGGAAGTAATGCCTAACAACAAAAAGCTATCATGTATGCTGCTCATTATCATATTAAGGTGTGGCTAGAGAAGGGGGTATCGAGGAATCAGCTAGATGAATAATTGTCAAGAGAAGCAGCAGCCAGCTCACTAAAAAAGTGAAGAGCAAGACATCACCTTTAATTGAATTTGATTTGCTAAATCTGTCTTGTTCAGAATTATAATGCGCCTCGAGGAAGGCGAATGATGCTTAATTAGCTCACATGCTGATGATAAAGGAATCTGAGAAAAGCCAAAGCGGAAATATAAGAATAAAAAATTAGAGGATAGTTATACAAGCATATCCTCGTAAACAAAGGAACTGGGACATGATTGAACATATATCGAATTATCACTGAGTTCATAACGAAATACTCCCCATGAATGCCATAGACAATTGTGCCAAGTTTTCAATTTCATACATGATGGTGGTGTTTGAGGCCTTCACAAGGTAGGGGTAAGGTTAGCGTACACACTGTACACCAGCCTCTCCAGACCCCACTTGTGAGATTACACTGGGTTGTTATTCTTGTGGTGAATTGGTGGTGGTGTTTGAGCCAACTTGCATAATCTTCTACTAAATATACCAAGCAGTCAGCTACAATCCACAAGCACAGGTGTCGAGCACCACTCCATCAAGGATGGAGAAGATGGGCTCACCACAAGTGTTGTAGCTGAGATTCAAGCCTTGAGCCTTCAGGTTTCTACTAATATGCCTGAACTACTCGGTCAACCTTTAGGAACTTGACAATTATATCAATATATCTAGCAATGATGTTACTTTTCCTTTCTTTTTTAAATTTCTTTATGCTCATTCTATATACACTTGTGTATTTGTTTTGATACTTCAAATCAACATAGAAAAAGGCCCTGGATGATAACGAATAGCTGGTTATCTACCAAAAGAGGCCAATAGTAATGGTCTATCACAGAAATGGTGCATACTTCTTGATATGCTGAACTCCAACCCACAAACCGCACTACACAAAGCCGAACTTCCCAATTTTTCATAATTGATATGAACAGATCATGCAGGATGGATTCATGCGAGGTCAACACTTGTTGACAAGAGGACACATGTCTAAAAGAATAAATAGCTTATTCACAAACATAATATATTATTCAAAGACCACATCACAAAACAAAGTGTTTTACGGAGTAATACTAGCAAGCTTGATCTGACGTTTAATCAAACATGTAGCGGCAACAATTTAAAGGAAAAGATTCATGAAGGATAGGGTTTATACATACCCGAGCATCTCTGACTTCAAGGAGAATATCAACCAATGGGACCCGTTCGGTTATGGCACGAGATGCTGCAGCCATGTGAGGTGTGTACCACCATGTTGAGCCTTTGTTCCTTGCGACTTCCATAATTGCATTACCTATCTTTTGAACTAAACTGCCCTTTAATGTCATTCCTGAGCAAAACAATAAATAAGCTGGGTCGGAGCATAGATGGATTAGCATTTTACCCAAAATCCGAAGTCGAAGCAAAGTATTTTTATTTCCATAAATCATTAGACATGCATACAAATCAACCACTACAACTACAACTAATGCTACTCTATTCCTCAGTCCCAAACAAGTTGGGGTCCCCTATATGAATCCCCACTTTCATTTAAGCTAATTTCATTTGACGAATTAAAAAATATACTCTCCCCAAAATATCAACCAGCAGTGAAAGATAACTACCAGCGTTGTGCTTAGTATAACGATAATGAGTTAATAACTAATATATTCCCTTTTCTAGAACACACTTAGGCTCCAGGAGAAAAATTCGGAAAGTTTTATATACTCCTGAACCTTAATAATCCTATTTAGCAAAAGTGGGTCAGTTTTGATCCAAGACTAGTGAGAAGTACTACTCCTAATGGAAAAGACCGAACCTTGAAATGCCTAAAAAGCAAGATAAGATAAATCTTCTCCAGAAGCTGTACACCGAAAACAGTTTCTTTTCAATAACCATGGTCTCCGAACCCACTTCCGCACACCTTCACTAATTCTACGGGATACCTACCACCTCCCAGTAGCAACAAATACCAGGTACAAGTTAACTCTATCCACCAAACTAGGAGCACATGAATACAATCACCTAGTGTTTGTCTATGCTCAAATTAGAACCCGAGACCTCGTGTGCTCAATTTTCTTCATTAACCACTAGGCCTCACCCAACACCACAAATTAGGAAGGAGGAATTCTTCGGGTGGGAGCTCCATTATCAGTATTAACTCTAAACTCATATAAAGTGGATAAAGAATGAGTTTTTTTTTTTTTTTTTTTTCAAATACAGTAAGAAATCAACCAAAAGATGCTAAATTTTAAATGCTAAAGAAAGTTCACAAGCTCAAAGAAACTCAATGAAGTGTACAAAGATTCGATTTTTACCTATTAGGGGATGAATCTCCAACAATAGAAGTAATCCCTTATTCTTGAAAGACAGGGTTTGCTGCCGCTGCTTGGTAGTCTTCTTCAACCCTCTTTGCTTCCTTATGGGGCTAAGATGACCAAGAAGGGCTGACCAATCAGCACGCAGAACTCAGCACAGCAAGTATTTTTGTGGGAAGTATGCCGTGAAGAGGAAGGGCAGTTGGTATTTGGGGCTGCAAAGTGACAGCAGGTGTGTTTGGGGGCTGTTGGTTTTTGGGGCTCTGCAAATAGGTGTGTTTTCGACTATTAACTCGTAAATATATAACCTAAACTCATATATTCATATGAATGAGTCTTCTTTAGTTTCCTTTACACCTAATGTTCCACCATGTTCGAATTTTTCGTATAGCTTCTTCTCCTCTTCTCCTCTTCACAAAATCTCTACAAACACTCACTGAATCATCACAATCCTATCAAAAAGATCTCCTCAATTTCTGCTCCACGACCAAATCCCTTCTTCAAACCCAACAAGCTCACGCTTTCTCCATCATCAATGGCTTTCTTCCGTTCAGCATTTCCATCTCCGCAGCTCTCATTCTCCGTTACGCCGCTTTTTCATCAGACCCAAGAATCGTACGGACAATGTTCTACCAAAGTCTCCCTTTTTCCCGTTCGGCGTTTCTGTACAACACCCTTATTCGAGCTCAGACTATTTTGGGTGTGGTGGGTGTTCTTGAGGTTTATAATGGGATGTTGAGAAGCGGGGTTGTGCCAGATGATCATACTTTTCCTTTTGTGATTAAGCTTTGTACTGATTTTGGTGAGGTTCGAAAAGGGTTGGAGGTTCATGGGTTGTTGATGAAATTGGGTTTTGATTATGATGTGTTTGTGAATAATACATTGATGTTGTTTTATGGGAGTTTTGGTGATTTGGTGAGTGCGGGGAAGATATTTGATGAAATGTCTGAAAGGGATTTGGTTTCATGGAACAGTATGATTCGGGTGTTCACGGATAATAGGTGTTATTTTGAAGGTATTGGGGTGTTTAGGGAGATGGTTATGTGGTCTGAGTTTAAGCCGAATGTGGTAAGTGTTGTGAGTGTATTGCCTATTTGTGCAGTGCTGGAAGATGGGATAATGGTTAGTGAGATTCATTGTTATGTGATTAAAGTGGGTTTGGATTGTCAAGTGGCTATTGGGAATGCATTCGTCGATGCATATGGGAAGTGCTTGAATGTTGAGTCGTCAAGACAAGTTTTTGATGAGATGGTTGAAAGGAATGAGGTTTCTTGGAATGCAATGATTGGTACCTTTGCTCATAATGGGTTTAATAACCATGCGTTGGAAAGTTTTAGGTTTATGATTGATGGTGGTTGGAATGTAAATTCGACTACAGTTTCAAGTATGTTACCTGTCTTGGTTGAACTTGGAAAGTTTAACAAGGGAAGAGAAGTTCATGGTTTTTGTCTAAGAACAGGTTTAGAGTGTGATGTATTTGTTGCCAACGCCTTGATTGATATGTATGCAAAATCAGAGCGTTCAGCTGAAGCATCTGCCGTGTTCCACAAAATGGATTCGAGAAATGTTGTGTCATGGAATACAATGGTTGCAAATTTTGCTCAGAATGGGCTTGAGTTTGAGGCTATAGGACTTGTCAGGAAGATGCAATCTAGCGATGAAACTCCAACATCTGTTACACTGACAAATGTTCTTCCTGCATGTGCACGAATTGGTTGTCTTCGTTCAGGAAAGGAGATACATGCCAGGTCAATAAGGAATGGGTCTGTCATTGATCTCTTTGTCTCAAATGCTATAACCGATATGTATGCAAAGTGTGGTTGTCTAAATCTGGCGCAAAATGTGTTTGACATGTCTCTTAGAGACGAAGTATCTTATAATATACTCATTGTTGGTTATTCACAGACGAGTCATTGCTCAAAGTCTCTTGTACTGTTCTCTGAAATGGTGCCGACTGGGATGAAACACGATACTGTTTCCTTTGTTGGAGTTCTCTCAGCTTGTGCAACTATTTCTGCGATCAAACAAGGAAAGGAAATCCATGCATTTGCAGTGCGAAGATTGTTTCATGAACATCTGTTTGTCTCAAATTCTTTCTTGGATTTGTATACCAAATGTGGACGGATTGATCTTTCTCAAAAGGTTTTTGATAGGATTGAGAACAGGGATGTAGCATCATGGAATACTATGATTTTAGGGTATGGGATGCTTGGTGATTTACATACTGCAATTGACATGTTTGAAGCCACTCGAGAGGATGGTGTTGAACACGATTCCATCTCTTATATTGCAGTTCTATCAGCATGTAGTCATGGGGGATTAGTTGATAAGGGAAAGAAATACTTCAACGACATGCTTGCTCGTAACATTGAACCATCACAGATGCACTACGCTTGCATGGTTGATCTTCTTGGTCGTTCTGGGCTAATGGATGAGGCCATTAATGTTATCACTGGTCTACCATTTGAACCAGATTTCAATGTTTGGGCTGCGCTCCTTGGAGCATGCCGTCTCAATGGAAATGTGGAGTTGGGTTCTTGGGCAGCTGAGCACTTATTTAAGATGCAGCCGCATCATCCTGGATACTATGCTCTTCTCTCAAATATGTACGCTGAAGCAGGGCGGTGGGGCGAAGCTGATAGTATAAGAGAGATGATGAAACTGAGGGGAGTAAAGAAAAACCCTGGATGTAGTTGGATTCAAATTCAAGACAAGGTGCATGCTTTTATTGTTGGACAAAAGACTGGATGAAACACACATCTTGAAAGTGAATCAAGAGAACTAACAATAAGAAGCCCAATCCCACATCTTGAAAGTGAATCAAGAGAACTGCTTCTTTAGTATGGATGAATTCTCAGAGTTTGTTTCCATATGATAAAAGAAGTCAAAAAATTGAATGAATTCTCGAGTTTTAAACATGCATAATTCTATTCTCCTTTTGTAAAAAGTCTCTATGGGTTTATGCCAATTTGCGTGTGACGTTCCCAACTCCACACACCAAGAGGCAAACACAAAGCTTTTTCTTTTAATTTTAAACAAACTTTTTTCTTTATCCCTGGCCGATGTGGGACAATAAACCCAATTGTAAAATAAACATTTTCCAAAACTATATAACTACTTCATTCAACAAGCACAAAGAACTTGCACAGTGAGTCAATATGCTTAAGCTCCATCGTGCTTTCAAATTTGCCGGCACCGGTAATCAACATTTACTCTGCAAATTTTTCCGTTCAACTCCATTTCTACACCAAGAACAACTACTCAGTTCAATCAACAATGAAAATCCCACAGATAGTCCATCCCAAAATCTTGTAGAACAGCTCCGGCAGCTTCGGATTCTAATTCAACAACGTCGTATGGAAAATGCCAAAGGAATCTTGGGTACCCTTATTCATACAAGTTCAGTTTCTCAACTCTACTCTCTCTTTTCACCTTCCCCTGCAAAACCCCTTCTCTCAGATTTGCTATTTTCACTGTATTTAGAGTCGAAACTCATTAACCAAGCTGAAGAGCTTTATTCATTGATAAGGGAAGAGAAAAAGTTTCCATCTTTATCAGCTATAAATGTGTTTCTTGAATCTTTGAATAGTTTAAGGAAGTATAAAAAGACCCTTGAAGTTTTCTCTGATGTAATGAATTGGGGTATAAGGGTTGATAAGGCTAGTTATGGAAAAGCTATACTATCGGCCGTGAAAATTGGGGATTTGGGTAAAGCTTTGGAGCTGTTGGATTGTATGAGAAGTGGTAAGGTGGGTATGGATAAGTTTGTGTATAATGTAGTGATGGGTGGGTTATGTAAAGAGAAGAGAGTTGTGGAAGCGCGGAAACTGTTTGATGAAATGCTTGAGAGAAGAGTGGCGCGGAGTATGGTGACGTATAATATTCTTATGGATGGTTATTGTAAGATGGGGAAGGTAGAGGAGGCTTTTGAGTTGAGGGAAACGATGAAGAATGATAATGTGGAGCCTAATATTGTGACGTTTAATACGTTGCTTAGTGGACTTTGTAAGTCCGGGAAGATGGAGGAAGCTAATTGCATAGTGGAGGAAATGAAGAGTTACGGATTTGTACCCGATGGGTTTACTTTTAGTATACTTTTTGATGGTCTTTCGCGATCTGATGATGTTAATTCCTCTTTAGCGTTGTATGAAGAAGTCGTTAAGACAGGGGTGAAGTTGAATGAGTATACGAGTAGTGTTTTATTGAATGGACTGTGCAAGAAAGGGAAGACGGATAAGGCTGCAGAGATTTTGAAGAAGATGCTGGGAAATGGGCTTACTCCTACAGATGTGTTGTTTAATACCATTTTGAGTGGCTATTGCAAAGAGGGCAATATGGAGAAGGCTTATTTAACTATTGATGAAATGGAGATTTCTGGGGTGAAGCCGAGTTGTGTCACATTTAATACTCTGATCACGAAATTCTGTGAATTGGGTATGATGGAAGAGGCAAACAAGTGGTTAAGGAAAATGCTTGAGAAGTCAGTTTCCCCTAATGTGCAGACGTATAACATCTTAATTGACGGATATGGGCGCAAGCAGGAATTCGTGAGGTGTTTTGAGATTCTCGAGGAGATGGAAAATAACGGATTGAATCCTAATGTAATTACCTATGGTTCTCTAATCAATTCTTTGTGCAAGGATGGTAGGCTTCTTGAAGCTGATGTAGTCCTAAGTGATATGATCAGTAGAGGGGTTAAACCAAATGCGCAGGTCTATAATATGCTTATAGATGGACATTGTATGAGAGGAAGGATGACTGATGCTTTTAGATGCTTGGAGAAGATGCTACAAAGTGATGCGGAAACAACACTCGTTACATACAATACTCTATTAAATGGGCTTTGCAAAAAGGGTAAGACCAAAGAAGCTGAGGAGTTGGTCGCGGATATTCAACTCAAAGGTTTCGTTCCAGATGTTATCACATACAATTCTTTAATCTCTGCGTATTCAGATGCACGGGACAGTGAAAAGTGTTATGAAATGTATGAGAAGATGAAAACCTCTGGCATAAAACCTACAATCAACACAATTCATCCTCTAATTAGAGTGTCCAAAGAGGGAAAGAATGGACTGGTGTCAATTGACAAAATTGTTGAAGAAATGTCCCAGATGGATCTTTCTCCTGACCGAGTTGTATATAACGAGCTCGTCCATTGCTATGCTCTACACGGAGAAGTTCAAAAGTCACTTGCTATGCACCAAGAGATGGTGGAA